CTCCATATATGGGATATAGTCAAGGCTTTTCTACAGTTTCTCTACAGCCTGCACGCTGTTTGGGCCCTTGGCTTGTACGGAGTAAGTGAAAGTGTACTTGATTAGTGTCTTTCGCTGGGTGGTTTCTTTTTGGATGTTGATCGCTGTTAGAACTGTGGGGCAGTTTGTTTTTGGCCCATGTTAGCTGATCCCTTGGTGACCAGAAACATGGAGGCGGAGAGTGTTTTGATATCTTAGTCTTTTGAACTTGTTGAACGTTTTAGCATCGACTTTTACCAATCGTTGTGGGTAATCTAATCACGAAGGTGGTAGGAGGTCTTGAACCCCGCTGGTCCCACTGCTAGATCTGCCCTTGTCTACATTATGTAGTTGGCGCTGTTCGCTGCTCGCTACTAACTACTCCCTCATGTCTAATTTATAAGGTGTAATATGACATGGTAGAATCTTCTAAATTACACATTGATCATTCATTCACTTCATATTATATTGTTTGTGATTATGAACTGGTGATTATTAGATAGTAATTTTGATTACTAATCTAACAATATCAACTAATAGATGAAAACTATTGGCCAAATTAGTGGTCGAGACTATAAATAAGCTTAACTCCGAATAGAAATGTGTTCCTTGTAAACTGGACCGGAGGGAACCAATATCTTTTTGTAATGGCTATACAAGAGTTCTCCTATCAAATCACCTGTAGTTCAATTTAAAATTTTAGGTTTAGCACAAAGAATCACGTCCTACAATTAAGTGGCATCCCAAATCAAGACACGGATCGAGTATATGGAGCATGGCAAGCAGGATGAATGCCAGATCACTCCATATATGGGATAGTCGCTTTTCTCCAGTCTCTCTACAGCCTGCTCGCTGTTGAGCACGTGAAAGTGTACTTATAGGGTTTGTTTGTTTACCTGGCTCCTTTTTAGTCTAGCTAGGAATTAAGCCAGGCTAGCTTAAAACTTGTTTTTAGCAAGTTAAGATGAACTTTTTTGGTTATCTACACTATCTAAGCCTAGTTAGCAACTAGTATGTTTGGTTTGGATGGAGTCACCTCTTCTTTATGCAGGTAGGTTTACCACCTCTGAGACAAGTAACAGAGGTGCCAGCAACAGACAAAGACGCTACAGAAGGGGACAGGTGATGAACCGAGAGACACATTCTAACATAGAAAGATAACAATCTGCAAAGGAGTGGCGCACCCAAAAGCAACCTCCCTGCCTAACCAGGCAAAGAAGGGTTTAGGAGAAAAAAAATGGATTGCTAACGAAGACTAATAGATAGGCAAAAACCTGCATCAGGCAAAAATCTTTGCTTCAAAAGCAGAGAAGGCCAGTAGAGCAAGCATCTAATACTTAATTATCACTGTAATCTGACCAAGTGCCCAATGGAGGATGCAAGCAACTTGCCCATAACCTCATCCCGATTATCACTGTAATCTGACAGAGTGTCCTAAGCCCAATGACAGCTCATTCAGTAAAGACCCTTAAACTGTAACTGAATAAATGGACCTGAAGGGCTCAGAATTACACTGCCAAAGCCATGACTGATGTGACAAATGAACGAGTTTCCTGCAGAGTTAATGTCCGAACATTCAGCTGTAACTGAATTTATTAAACTTCAGTTTGGGTGACTTAACTGAATTTACTGAACTTCAGTTTCAGTTTGCAAGTACCCTACTTTGGAGCTCTCTACCTCCCACTCTGATCGGAGTTAGACTCTGAACCTTTAAGCAATGTTGTAGCACTCATGTATCTCTACAACACGGTGCAATTGGTTTAGATTTTTGCTAACTGGATCAGGAGATAGAGATGGGAGAAGATGGCTGTTTCAGTCGATTTTTGGGCGTTTTTGAAACGCCATCAGGCTCCCGATCGTGGCCGACCGAGTCAGCGGCGCGGCGCCGCCGTAGCCCTGCTGCTGCCCGCGCAGCCTCGCGCCCGCGTCCAGGAACTCCATCAGGTAGCTGTAGTTCTCCTTCTTGGCCAGCGAGTTGGACAGCGAGAGGAAGCTCGCGGGGCCCCTCGTGGGGGCCGGGGCGTCCATCAGCGAGCGAGCAGAGGAGCTGCTGCTGCTGCCGCCTGCTCGCGAACGTGTACCCGTACTTCGCCTACTCGGCCGACCCGTCGTCGGTGCCCCTCGACTACGCGCTGCTGCAGTCCGCGTCCGCGTCCTCCAGATCGAATCAGGGAGCTTGGGCGATGGCGGGTCCGGGGCGTGTCGGGGCGATGGCGGGTGCACGCGCGTGCGCCTGTGCGTCAGGGCTGCGACTGGGGAGGCCGCGCCGCCGCCTACCAGAACCCAGGTGAGCCGCGCGCGGAGGAGCGCGACGGTCCGGGCGGAAGAGCTCAAGCGGAGGAGCGGGGGACCGGCGAGCGGAGGAGCGCGGGCGGTGACGAGACTTCGACGGCGGCTTAGCCAAGCCTGGCCCATCTCGTTTTTTCAGATCCTGGCTAAGACATCTGAAGTGGCTTATCTAGATCTGACTGTTTACAGACAACCAAACAACTATAAGTTAACTTCCTGAAGCCTAATCAGGGGTTAATCACCCAACCAAACAGGTCCACGGTGTCTTTCGCTGGGTGGTTTCTTTGAACGTTGATCGCTGTTAGAACTGTGGGGTAGTTTGTTTTTGACCCGCGTTAGCTGATCGCTTGGTGCCCAGAAAAATGGAGACGGAGAGTGTTTTGGTATCTTAGTCGTTTGAACTGGTTGAACGTTGTAATTTCGGTACATTCGTAATAAAATTCGGTTTTTACCGTTGTGGGAAAAAAAAAGTGGCATCTCAAATCGCTTCCCACTCCCTCACATAGCAACTGGGTGTCCCTCGCCTGCATTTTCACACCATTTTTACCCAGGTGCGGCTACTTCCTCTCCAAATCATCACCCTCCTGCACATGATGCTTGTTGTGGTGCATTGCTCGTGCACCGGACGATTTTACAACACCATGATAGGATGGAAGATAAAGGACCAGTATATAGCAAAAGCAGAGGAGAGAATGGGAATGATAGTTACCGATATAGGATGGGCTCTGCCGCTGCAGGAGGCATGTAAGCCGGCTGATAAACCCGCTGAAGCTGTTTTGTTGTGAGAGAAAAATACTGTAGATTTTAAGTTCAAGTGAACAGGGCTGGTCGACCACGTTAGTCAAGTGACCGCTGGGGCAACTAATGCTTTGGGAGGAAGAACAAATAAATATAACTGTAGCAAAGAGGAGTAGTGTGCTTAAAATTTAGAGCATCCCCTGCAGATGGGCTAAATGCATCCATGAATGTTATTGTAGCTATTGTGGGCCAAAAAATATGTCCAACAGCCTTTCTGTGCTGTCTTATATTTTTTATCGTTGGCCATCCTGCAGTCGTCGCTGGCCAACTTTCACGAGCCAGAATCGCTTGCTATCCGTGGCGCCAATGGATTTCCGCGTGCGGGCTTCGCCTCTCCCACGCTTGATTTACTCCGCGCGCCAGCTTCTCCTGCTCTTGCGTGCGCCCCTTGTCGTGCTTCTTTTTTTCTTCCCATCACGCGCTGCTTCTTCTCGGCACCTGCGTGTTCCTCTCTCCACGACGCGGATCCCTTCGAGGTGCTCGGAATCGTGCCGAGGCACCATGTCGCACGCACAATCAGAAGGGGATCTGATATCCGCGAGCCACGGCCACGGGGACCCCAATTCTTCTGAGCTCCACTCGTTCCCCGTCTTTCTCGTCAGCCAGCGATTGGGAGCAACAGCAGTTCCCGTCGTTGCCTTGGTTGCAAAGTGCCCAGGTACCTGGGCTGCGGCGTGGAGTTCTTCCTCCCAATGCTGCCCCAGCTGCATCAGCCCCTTGTTCGGCATGTATTCCGGTGAGATCCAAATAGCTAGATCCATTTTTTTGTTTTTTAATAATCAGGTCAACTCAAAATGTACATGTGAGCTCAGATGCAATTTGTGAATAGGTATCTATTGCGAGTACTTGTGAATGAAAGCATTCTTGGCAATTATGGTCTATAAATAACTCAGATTTGGTAAGCTCTAAATCATGAAAGCATTCTTGCTACTTTCAGATAGTACAGTTTGACTAGTTGCAGTAAAGTGAAGGAAGTGATTGTGCATATTACAAATTTATTTATTGAACTAGAGTTTGTGTATTTCAGTAAGTTTAGTAAATTTTTTCTGTGAACAGTATGTTAGCCTCTTCCTGTGATCATCCAATTGTAGCAATATAGAATTCATCATCATAATCGAAGATGATTAATCCACCACTTCATTCAGTAGATTGAACTCAGCTTCAGAATCCATTACACACCTACGGCTCTAGGGCAAAGCTGAGGCAGGTGTGATAAAACACACAAGATGGGTTGACCTGACAAACCCTGAACGCATGAAGTGCTCACCGTCGTCGACTACTGCTCGGCACCGCCGTCACACCGAGCGACTAGGCAGGGAGGTCCGTACCAAGTGGTGCGCCACCAAGGGGTAGCTGTGCGTTGCGACTTTGCGAGCAGACCTGGCGGCGCAGTCGTGCGTTGCGACTTTGCGAGCAAACCTAGCGACGGACGTATATTGCGAGCGGCCAAGGACCCGATGATGTGGCCCATTCAAATATACAAAAGGACTATATTTAGCTAGGCTGCTGTAGCACTCATCTTTTTGAGAATGTTTTCTATTTTACATGATGGCTAAATCAAGAAATTTAGCATTTATTTTTAGCTAACCTGTACGAGAGGGCCAAGAGATGTAGCGTAACAGCAGATAGCCCAACCGCCCAATGGTTCAGCCCATCACATCACGCCAACACCCCACCTTCCTGCTCCCAAAGAGGAAAAACCCCACTCGAGAGTCGAGACATGCTAGGCGCGAAAGGCTACGATTCCTCCTCCCGCCATTTCCGTCGCCCGCCAAAACGATCCCGAAACCGCCCAGATCGCGACTATTTCTCCGCGCCAAAATGCCCAAATCCGCCTCCCGCTCCCCGTCCCCACTCCCAGCACTGATCCGCGCCCCTCTGACGCGCCGGCGTCCATGGACATGTCGGCGATCGCCGCGCGCCTCGGCCTCTCGGGGTCCCGCCTCGTCATCCGCAAGGCCGGCGAGCTCCGCCGCCTCTGCGACGTCAACTTCGACTCATCTGTCCTCGGCATCGTAAGCGGCCCGGACTGCCCACCCTCTTCCCCGATTTCCCGTTCTTCTTCCGCCGCGCGGACGTGCCTCTGACCTGTGTGCTTTTGCAGGGCGAGGTCTGCAAGGCCATCATCTGCCTGGAGATCGCTGCGTCCAAGTGAGTCTGGATTTGCTGGTCAACTGTTCGATGAATTGCCCGTGTAGGGAACTTTGTGTCATTTCGTTTGTTGGTTGCTCAGGTTCCAGGTGATTTTTGACCGCGCGGAGGCTGTGCGTATGAGCGGGATGTCTGAGAAGGCGTACATCAGATCATTCAATGCGCTCCAAAATGGTCTTGGTGTCAAGTATGCTTCTCTTCCCTTCTGTTTCGCCGTTCAGAGCGTCAAATTCCTACCCAGTGATTATTAAGGTGAAAATTTGCTCTTGTAGGACGACTTTGGATATGCGTGAATTGGGCATCCAGTTTGGTTGTGTCAGGTTGATACCTTTCGTTCAGAAGGGATTGTCTCTGTAAGTCTTCTCTCATGGCAGTCCGATTGCACTTGCATCAATATTTGAGGGCCTACTGATTGTGAATTTTGTCTCGAGACCACGAATTGTAGACTATGTCATTTGAGCTTCATTGAAACTGTGCCCAAGTTTGCAAGTTGCAACCTGATGTTTCAATGTTATATTGAGGGTAGATTTCATACATTTCAGCTATAAGGAGCGCTTCCTTGCTGCATTGCCACCTTCACGCCGGGCAAGCACTGACTTTGGTCGCCCAGTGTTTACTGCAGCAGTATTCTACTTATGTGCGAAGAGGCACAAGGTACTTGCCTGTTTTAGTAACAGTGTACTTTGTTGTTCTGCAATGCATAGGCGATTTGTCTTCTTTAGTGCTGAAGCTTTCCTTAATTTTCTTGTAGCTCAAAGTTGACAAACTAAAGCTGATAGATCTATGTGGCACATCCAGCACTGAGTTTACAACGGTACAGTTTATTCATATCCTCTTTGTATGTCTGCGCATAGCTACAATGTGCACTTGTGCTGTGTGCTCACTTGAATTGTTTACTGTACATATGCTCTTTTCTTACTTTCCTGTTCTGATTACAGGTTTCAACATCAATGACAGACCTCTGCTTTGATGTTTTCGGGATAGCCAAGGAGAAGAAAGATCCAAAGTCCATCAAAGGGAACAGAGGTACCTACATACTCATTGCTGATCCATTCCTTACATCATTGAGTTATTAATCCACTTACATAGCGAAAATACATGCTACAAATAATGCTTTGTGTTGCTAACTCTCCATTAAACTCCTATGTTTTGTCCTTGTTGCAGAACTGCTGGATGTTTTGCCAAGCAAAAGGAAACATGAAGATGACAGTGATTCATCTGCATCCGATGAATCCTCAGACGATGATCTAGATGAGCTAGATGTATGTACTTGATTACTTCTGATTGCTTATGGATTACTGATCTCACTTTTCTTTTGAATTGCATCTAAAAAATATCTTAGTAAGTACTGGAGTTTAATCTGCATTTTGAATTGCATGTCATGGAACACAACTACACTGATATGCTTTTCCTGATGAAAAATGGTTTTATATTTAATTTGTAGTAGTCTTCCTGTTTGAAATTTTCCTGCATTGTAAAAGTCGCTACTAGTGCAGTTTCTTGTATATGGCTTTCACCTGCATGGAACCCTGTCCACATCCTTTATTACCAGGAGTATATATAATCCTGGTTTGATCAATTAAGGTTGGCTCAAGTAAGGTTTATGTACATGCTAGATGTCTGAAATCCGAATGAACTGAAAGACACACAAAAACAGTACTGAAAGATGTCTTTTCTTCTACAGCTGTGCAATTTTGATGGTTCCTACTATATAATAGTGTGCAACAGTAACTGCATCTAATCGTTTCTTCTATGCCATGGTGTGTTAAAGCGTGGTCTTGTTGCATCTACACAGTTTTCCTGTCGAGGTTACTTCTGCAATGTCTATACGGATTATTTTGGGCTTGACCGCTGTCTGCTTGTTCTGATGTCAGTTACCAACTCACAAGAGGCGCAAGAAGATGGAGAAAGAAGCATACAATGATTGGAAGTCGTCTGTTGTTTCGTCGAACAAGAAAACCAAAACAGGTTTGTGATTTGCCCTGTTCTGCATCCCCGACTATTTATTAATTTTCTCAATCCAACCTCATGTCTGACGAGATTAGTTCCCTTCCGTTTCCAGACCCAGCCAAGCCTAGGAGGCAAGCTCAACTTAACTTCAAGAAGCCGGCAGAAGTACCTTCTGCAGCCAACTAGATAAACCTGAACCCTCTTCGCAACAAATGGAATTGCCGAGACTGAAAGCGGTCTATGCTCTATCCTCATCGATTTCCTTCTGAACGCAAAGGGAAAAATCGGACGCGGGACGCCTTTGCTCCTTGTTTTTATTTATCTTTGTGACAACTTATTCATGAAAAATGCTGTTGGGCAACGCACTATGCCAGAAAAGCTTATCGGTGACACCTTGCTTAGTGACCAAAAATTAAAACGCGTCACTAACATCGGATCAGTGACGCGGGTACACAAAACGCGTCACTAGTCAGGTGCCGCCCATGGTCTGGAGACAAAAACGCGTCACTGATGACGAGTTACCAGCGACGATTCTTAAGAATGTGCGTCACTCATAGCCGTAGTTGTTATCATAGACTCGTTGGGACAAAACGCGTCACTCAAGGTCTTGGACCTGAAAAAATTATCAAATACGCTTTACTGAAAAGTGAAGTCCGGACTCCGCTCCCCACCCTCCTGTACAGACTCCACTCGGACGGCACCTCACCTCATCACGCGTTCCTGCCCCCCTCTCTTTCTCTCGCCTCCGTCCCGACGCCACTCCGCCGGCCACTGGTCGCGCCTTCTCCTCCGTCGGCTACCGCCACCCCTCACGTCTCTTCCTCCACCATTCCTCTTCCCCCGCCGCCATCTCTCTCTTTCTCCTACAGATCTGGATGGAGCCTCCGCCTCTCTTCTCTGCAGACAGCAGGGTTGCTCCAGCGCCTGCAGGCGGTGGTGGCTCCCGGCGCAGTGCGGGGGGGTTCCCCTACGGCAGCGGCGCATGTGGCCCAGCTGTGCTCGGTGACGGTGTGCAACCTCTTCATCCCGGCGCCCTCTACAAATGACGGCGCGTGGGCTCCCGTGCACCGGCGTCAGTGAGAACCCTCCCACTCCTCTCCCCTTCCCCGTAGCACCTTCTGCTCAAGCAGGGTCTCCCAGACCGCTGACACGGAGTACTTTCTTCGAGCCATATTGTGTCTTCAGCGCACGCTTAGCAGTTGTTCGACGCAATGCCAAGAAGACCACGACTTGAGGTTTCGCAAATTTTTCTAAAACTAATATTTGTTTGTACTTGCAATCTCTATGCTAGGTTATATTCAGATTTGTTTGAAACTTATGTGACAATATGCTAGGTAATAAGTTTATTGCTTTACCCAATCACTAATTTGTGGTAATTACGTGACACATGTGAGTCGGAATGATGTAGTCATTACATTGTAACTTGTGCAAAATTAGTAAGTCGATGTTTAACTATCTCGAAAATTAGGTAAGATAGTTTTAGGTTTGGTAAACCCTAACAAAAATATGTAGTCCTTTTGGTTTGGTAAACCCAAGGCTACACTCTGATGCCCTAATGATTTTATATCCTTCAGGTCTAAAACACAAGACCAAGTGACTGGCCATCTATAAGACACATAAATAAATACTGCAGTACTGCTATGTGTCTATTGATTCCTAAAGTAAGTTCAAGAGAAGAAGTTTGCTCCTAACCGACCATAAGGGCATGTCATGTCCCTTGAACCACTTTGCTTATTAAGTATTCATTGCCTCTTTATTATGTATTCATAGCATCTTTGTTAAGTGTGCTTGATCTATCGCTTTAAATCAAGTTCTCGACACACAACAACTCGATTTCAGTCTCAATTGCATAGAAGAACCGATGAAGCCCACAAATTCCATGCCATTACAAATGTGAAGGAGCACAAGTCTCTCAACTCGATCTAGGCCACAATGAGCAGTTAGTAATGCTATTGTCATACACCTAATGAGAGGCTCACAACCAAGGGTCGATATGCCATATGACAAACTATGCTATTGACCTTTTCTTACAATGGTCTAATTGGATATTCTAAATCAAGTATGATGTAGTGTATTACTGTATTACCTTCTTGGAGTAGCTCAACGCCCAAATACTATATGACTTTGTAATTTCAAGGATTTCACTAGTTCATTTCAAAGATATGTCTTTGCATCATTGTGTTTTATTAATAATCTGGGATATCCTCAAAAGCGCTTGAATTGTCATCAAGGCTTGAGTTTGTCATCAAGGATTTAACTAGTTCATTTCAGTTTCATTATAGCCATTCCTTATTGCATTATTACAGTTCTTAAACTGGCGGCTAACGCTCAATTTGTTCACCATTCAAAAATTGACATACAAAAACTGAGTGTAAGGGAGTTCTCATGCCATGAGCTTAATGCCAACCTGTTATGGCTTGGGACATTTTCATTTGCTACATGGCTGGTTAGGAACCAGTCGATTTTGGATGGACGACGTGTTCTGGAATTAGGAAGGTATGGGTGCTGTTCTCTAACTCTATGGACGCCTTTTCTTTCTTCCTTTCCTGACCAATTCAATCTAAGTGGTCACTTTATATATGACTAAAATTTTTTACAACTACCCCTATTATTGTCATGTTGGGCTCAATAAGTAACTTAGGATATCGATACATCTATCTCACAGGTTTTTCTTCTTTGCTGTTAGCACTGACTTGAGGCATGTACATGTTTTTCTTCTTTGCTGTTCCATCTCACAGTTTTTTTATGCTATCAAACTTTTGTAAAACCATTCCTACCGTGCCAATCCAGAGAATTTTTTCGGTGGCACTGGAAATTCATGACCGATTAATCCGCCCAAAGACACCCATTGACACCAAGTCTAGATAAAAAAATTACTCAAGTTAAAAATCAATCATCTCAAAGACTCAAAATATTTACATGTCTTGAATCTGAGGGAAAACACAAGTTTGATTCCACTTCAACCCTAAGATATAACATTAGTGTCCCTCTGGTTTCCTACCAAAGGTGTCTTCAAATGAACTAGTGATTAGTGAACTTTGGACAACATAGCAATAGATATGGTCTAATGTTCCATGATGTATGATGTATACTGTTTTATATGTTTATAAGAGATCGAGGCTGAATTAGGCACCGAGTACTTGATCGAGACAAATAATTTAACTATACACACATATCTGCTGCACATCACGTGATTCACCGATTTATGCTATCTCAGTAGGAAAGTGTGGCTTTCCACATAAACAAAAGCGTTTTATCTGTAGCCTTTTAGATAAATACTTTTATGGAAGTCTTAATCATTCTGTACCTTAAGAGTAGAGAAATATGAAATGAGATCGATTATTGAGATCTTTTGGTCATGACTCAAAAATGACAAATTAGCTGTTCATTTGGATTTGTGTAAATAAAAGAGTACATATAACTATCGATGCTATTATTATTTTCTACATTTTAGTTCGAACCGATTGTTTTACACAAATCGATTCTTTGAAATATAATAAGTTAGAAATATTAATAGTGTACCAAAGGCAATTCAGGTGTTTCATATTGCCTATAGTTATAGTTGTTTAGTTGTAGCATTTCCTCTCGATTTATAAGTCAGTAGCTATAGTCGGCCTCTCTCAGATTTAGTTGTAATAAGCCTATACTTAAATTTTGATGCTTGCGGGATCTGCAGATAGCTATGTTGGCTTCTAGCCGGGTAATAAACCACTCTAGCAAATGCGGTAGCTATCCATCATTGATTTTTAATTGCTGCCATGCTCATGTTATTCACATCTTGTAACCTTGAAATGAGGAGGCCTTGTACTATAGGGTCTGTAGTAGTCATCAAGTTATCTTCTTTGGAGGGTGGGAGACAACTAGGAAATTTGAATTCTGTAGTACAAGAACCAATTTTGAATAGTATTGCACAAGTTGTGCTGTTTTTGATTGCTAAAATCACACTTGTACCAAAGGAAAATGATAGTTGTAGTCACTCTTCTTGGATTTACATTGTTAGGCCAATTTTTTTGGAGTCCGGACTATGTATTTGATGGCCTAGTCTTGCCTTGCTCTTCCCGCTCTGCAACAGCAGCTCCTTTGTTTGTTCACTAATTGAACCTTTGTTTTTTTCTTACTACAGTCATTGCTTTTGCGGTTCATCAATCAGTCATATATGTGGATTCTTGAAGATGATGATCTGAATTATATTGGTTTATTGTTAGCGTTGTTGCTTTGTACAAAGGGTTTGAAGCTAACGCCTTGTTCAAATGTGGCGGGGAATCAAGAACTGAGCACTTTAGCCTAGGAACAACAAATGTAAAGTATGTACGTACCTTTCTACACCAAGTGTTTTTCCAATAATGTCATTGTTTGTGCCTCTCTACACTTGCAGAATCAACATTAAGGCCATTTTCACTTTTCAAATATGGCCAATGAAAATAACATGAGTTGAGACACCTTGTAACAAATAGCGACAAGTTATAGATACAAGGGAATGTCAATTAGATAGAGGACTTAAATAATGTTAGACATCCGATCTGCTAATACTTAGAGTTTCGCACCATGTGATGGACTCAATATCTTTTACAAAATGCTTTTCTTTTAATGTTGTGCTTTGCCACTCAAAATTACGTTGCCTCAGTAGTTTCACATATTTATAGACAGATGCAGCCATGCCATAAGACTCAAAATTCGATGCCTCTGCAGTTTCACATATTTATAGAGAGATGCCATGCCATTACAGGACGTTGCTTTAAAGCAGAAGAGCGATGGTCCATCTGAGAAAAATAGGAGAAAGCGGAAAAAATCAAGTGACCAGGAGGGACGCACCACCTCATTCTGTACTGCTCAAATGCTATGTTAGCCTGAACCTACTCAAATGCTATGTTAGCCTGAACTTGAACTAGAAGTTATGTAATTTAGAAATCTGAACCTGCTCACTACTCTCCTAGGACCACTTTTATGTTTGTTTACATCTCCCAAGGTGTCATACTATGCATTGTGTTCTTCAAATATGTAACTCCATGTGCGCGCGATGGCGTGCGCCCTGCACTAAGAATTGATTGTTGAAATGGTGGAACTTGTCTGATGTGTGTGTATATATTTATATATATAGGGGTCATATTAGATGTATATAGGGTCATTGTAGTTTTTTTTTGTTTTTCTGAAATAGTTATCAGTGACACGTCTTGGCTGGACATGTCGCTGATAGAGGGTTATCAGTGACGCGTCTTGGCCACACGCGTTGCTGGTAACCATTTATCAGTGACGCGTCTTGAATACACGCGTCGCTGATAGAGGGTTATCAGTGACGCGTATTTACGCGTCACTGATATGCCCTTATCACTGACGCAACATCAGTGACGCGTATTTTACGCGTCACTGAAAGCCCTCTACACGCGTCACTGATAACGTTTTCTGGCATAGTGATGTCCGGGTGTAAATGACGTGTTGATATCTAGTATTACATGAGAAATGTGTTGATTCTTAATACTCGTTGGTCTGTTATCTCATCTGTAGCCTCCTTGGTGCTGTCAGTCCGATTGACGCCACCTACACCCTGACGCCCTGGCGTTGGGCTGTGTTCATGTGGGCACCAGGACTCCAGGGTTCTAAAAAAATACGAGATAATAATATCAAAATATCTCTTCAAGTGATCAAATGGTCAAGGAGCAGTCTCACCCAGATTGAAAAGGAGTGAAAGTGCTTCCGACGTTCGTTGCGCTTAACCTAATGCAGGCTTTGTCCTGTAGTCCAAGTTGCGGTACTTTTTAGTATTTCGTAATCGTGAGTTCGTCGTGTTCGTGATGCGCTGGGATTAGGAAACCATGGCTCTTGGGGTCGGGTGTGGGCATGTGGCTCTGGACCGCTGGAGCCCGGAGCCTCGAGTCCCCGGCCGAGACCGCAGGCGCACGGCACGCGGCCGAGGGCCGCGGCCAGCGGGGCACGAGCAATTCTGTGGGTATCGTCGTATCTATGGCGTCCGGGGCCAGCGGCGCCGCCTGGTCGCGTGTGTCCGCCACGCGCCCCGCACTACCTTAGGCCGCGTTTAGATGTGAATTTTTTTTTGTTTTCGGCTACTGCAGTACTTTTGTTTGTATTTAGCAAAAAATATCTAATTATAGACTATTTAGGCTTAAAAGATTTGTCTCGCTAATTACAGGTAAACTGTGTAATTAGTTATTCTTTTTACCTATATTTAATACCATCCATGATACGTAAAATTTGATGTGACGAGAAATCTTAAAATTTTTTTGAATTTTGTTTAGAATCTAAACAGGGCCTTACCTCCCCGCCCGACGCGATCCCTTCCCTGCAGCTCTTTTGCTAGACTTCACCAACCCCGCGGAAAACGCCAAAACGGTGCGTGACCTGAGAAGGATGGCTAGTTTGTTTGGATTGTTTTGTGCTCGAATTCTTCGGATGCATAAGGCTGTGTTCGTTCTTCCTTCTGAACTTTAGTTATTGTCACATTGAATATTTGATATATATATAGAGTATTAAATATAAATTAATTATGAAACTAATTGTATAGTTTGCGACTAATTTGTGAGACGGATCTTTTAAGCCTAATTAGTCTATGATTTGACAACGTTATGCTACAGTAATATGCGCTAATGACGGATTAATTAGGCTTAAAAAATTCGTCCCGTGAAGTACTAACGGATTATATAATTTATTTTTTTATTAGTATCCAAACGCTCCATACGACACTTTCATTGACACCTTCTAAAATTTTAGTAACCAACTCCAAACACCCCCTGAGCCGTGACTAAAACGCAATCAGTCAGTCGTACCATGTAGCTGCCTCTCAAGTCTCAACAAGCCACCCAGGCGCCGTTACTTGCACGGTGCGTATATTTTTGCGAATGGTCGAAAACAATGTACACGTCCAGCCTATTCGCTGGTTTATGAGTCGATAAGCCCGATTAATATTAATTTATTATAAAATAAAAATACTGTATCAGAAGCATGACAGAAATCAAAGAGCGGGGCCATTAAATTATAGCAGAAAACACTTGCGTAATAATCTAGCCATTTCTTTGGGCCTCGAAAGAAGGGCGGTGTGGCGTGCGGCAGTGGCACATGTAGGGCGCTGGTGGTGCCGTGGTGGCGATGTCATGGTCATCCCATCCCATCCCATCCGCCTCCACGCAGGAGCACGCGCCAGGGCGGAGCAGCGGACAGCGGTGGGTGCCTCCCACACGCCCCGCGCGTGTCGCTGTCTATCCCACCGGGCCCAGCAACTACCCTTTCCCCCGTCACGCGGGCCACGCCACCGCCTGGCCCACGGATCAGCGAAACAGAGATCGCAGTTCCTCCCTCAGCCCCCGTTCTTCTTCCTGCCCCGCCGTGGGATCCGCCCTCGTCCCCTTTCTTCTCCCTCTCCTCTCCTCCCCACCTATCATCCTCCTCGGTCCTCCCCAGCAATCGAAGAAAGGGCAGAGCTGAACCGAGCCCTCAAATCTAGCCGCATCGCGTCGCGCTCTCTCATCCTGAGCTCGGTTCGAGGTAGTTTCGGGAAGGTGAGGGTCGTTTTTCCCTAGTCCTGGCGTCGATTGACGAACGCGCGGTTGCTCTGTGGTTAGGGTGTGGGGAACTGATGCGGAGCTCTTGATTTGTTGTTGCAGGAAAGGTATCGGACCAGGTCCCTTGATCACCCATGGTGCCCAGGGACAGGGCGCATAGCGCCACCGCGGCCCCGGCGGAGAAGCTCGTTCAAGGGTGAGCCTTGGTCGTGACTCGTGACTAATCAGTGGAGAGAGAAAAAACAGCAGATACATTTTGTAGTTTTTCTGCATTTGATCGCAGTAGTTCTTTGGGCTTTGTAGGGGGAGATCACTAGCTACGCAGCAATCCGCACTCCTACTCTTTGATGATCAGTAGTGTTTTTTGTTGGTCTCTGCACAAATAGTTTAGATCATATCTAACATTGGTTTAAACCTCTATTTAGTTCAAGCATGATGATGTGCTGCTGTTCGAGAAAAAAAAAAGTTTCCTGAGTTTTTTTTTATTTGTAACACTTATGCTCCGTATGCTTTGTTTCCTGTACCTGCAAAACTAGTGGAAGCAAATGTGGATGTTTGCCACTGAATAATGGATAATCCCTTCAAAGGAAATTAGGCTTTCCCTAATGTCGAGGCTGTGGGTAAGGTAGAACCAGAGAGTGGGATAGGCTTGTTACATTCTTTGAGCATGACTAGTGAATGAGCAAGCTTTTTTTTTTGGGCTTCGTAGGGGGAGAGCACTACCTACGCAGCAATCTGCACTCCTACTCTTTGATGATCAGTAGTGTTTCTTGTCGGTCTCTGCACACGTAGTTTAGATCATGTCTAACATTGGTTTAAACCTCTATTTAATTAATGATGATGATGTGCTGCTGTTCGAGAAAAAAGTTTTCATGAGTTTTTTAAATATTTGTAACACTTATGCTCCAAATCCTTTCTATCCTGGACCTTCAAACTAGCGCAACCACATGTGGATGTTTGTCACTGAATAATCGATAATGCCTTCGAAGGAAATTAGGCTTTCTCTAATGTCGAGGCTGTGGATAAGGTAGAACCAGAGAGTGGGATAGGCTTGTTACATTCTTCGAGCATGACTAGTGAATTAGCAAGCTTTTCTACTACAAGTGCATGACATGATTTATTGCTGATGCCGAATATCTGATAGGCCTATCACGAACAAGTGCGAAAAGAAGGCTCCAAAGAAAGTGCATAAATCTGAGAGGGAGAAACGTAAGCGGGACAAGCAGAATGATCTCTTCGGTGAGCTGGGAAACATGCTAGGTATGTGGTCTGTTACAAATTTAACCTACAACAACATGATCTATGGCTGCACAGCATTAGAGTATTTCTTTCTGAACTTGAAAAATCCATGGTGTTTTGTTTCATGGAGTGCCATCCTGTTTATTTCATATCATTTTGTCCAGGTCAATGCAGTTTGCGGCTCACCTGTGTACCTGCTGTTTGTTGATTCTCTTAAGTTTTGGATTTCCAAGTCCTAACTTTAAGAGTTTAGCATGTTTATGTGGTTATGTGGAATAATATTGAACACACACTTGACATTGTTGTACAGACATCTCACAAGTGCTCCATGCATATATGATTATGGATTATTTGCCTCAACTCTACTACTGCTCTACTTTTGCTCAAAGTTACATTTATATTTTTCCTAAGCAATGTCATCTCTTTTCAGAACCTGATAGGCAGAACAATGGGAAGGCATGCATATTAAGTGACACTACACGAATGCTTAATGATCTACTTTCACAAGTAGAATCTCTTCGAAAGGAGAACAACACGCTGAAGAATGAATCTCATTATGTAAGTGGGCTCCTCTCATTTCTGAAAACCGACCATATCACGACTTGGGGAATTTTAATTAAATTGTCCTTGAATTTGATTAATTTGATGTATGTAGACTGCAGGTAGTAATTTATGAACGAGAAAAATCTGTGGGTAGTAAATTTTTGTCCTAAAAAAAGAATATGCAAATGTTAGCAAATAAATCTTACAGTACCACTTGAAAAGATTTGCTATATCCTAGCCAGTAATTCAATATGTGCTTCCTTCATTGTACAAAACAGGTTGCCTTGGAGAGAAATGAACTACTGGATGAAGCCAATGTGATCCGTGGTGAAATCTCAGAACTTCAAAATGAGCTGAGGATGCGGCTAGAAGGCAACCCTATCTGGAGTCATGACACTTCTAGATCAAATCTTACAGCACCTCATCCTGCGACCACAGTATTTACATTGCAACATTCAGCACATCCACAAGTCATCGCAACAATGGCACTTCCTCTGCAACAGCCAGCAGTCGTTGAACAATCTTATGCTGCCCCACGGCGGGAGCTACAGCTATTCCCCGAAGCTGCACCCACTGAAGATACTGAGCCACCACAAAACCAGGGGATCTCTAATAATGTGATGCGGCCGCAGGCAAGGTACCCACCAGTAGTGACAACTTTGCCTGTACATGTATATCCAGTCCTTCCAAGAATGGAAGATGAGCAATGCAGTACTGGTAGCAGAGAGGAAGGCGGGGTAGACAACCCCTAACAGCTCAAGTACAAAACGAGAGATCTGGCTCACAGTTTGAAAAGTTTTCGTAGTTTCAAGTTTAATGTTTCCATTATAGCTGATGTGCTAAAGAAACCTAAAACCTATGCGGCTGTGCCTGCACATGTAAATATCATCCCACTCTGTATTACCTGAACTTAATCTTCGACTAGTTACTTCGATGGGAGCAATCTATCTTTGTTAGTTCGTCCACTTCGTAGTTTATCTGTAGTACTTGTACCAAGCAGAAGTTCAAAGAGTACCTGATTCTAGAAAACATGCTAATCACTCTTCTATGTATCTGTAGTTCTGTACAAGTTTGGATAGCTCCGAGCAAAAGCTAGTCTGTCTGATACCACTGTGCAGTTACAATTTTCTCACTGGGAATCCCACCTTGAGTTCAGTTAGTACAGTTGCTTAAACTCAGCAAGTCTGGATACATCAGCAAGACACAATAATGGAGCTGCAGCCTGCTGACTTCTTCACAGATATTTTCTGCGCTTCTGAATCCCTCACCTGAGCTATCTCATCCCACTGGCCTTCTGATGCGTATGTGTTCGACAGCAGAATGGCATCTGAAGGATGGTAGTGGCCAATGGCGTCCAACTGTGCCTGCACCATCCTCCCCAGCTTCGCATTGCCATACACTCTGCAGGCGGCAAGCAACGCTCTCCACGCCGTTGCATCACCATGGGATGACACGCTTTGTATGAGCTCATAGGCTTCATGTAGACGCCCTGCTCTTCCCAGGAGATCAATGACACAGCTGTAGTGCTCAGGGCTGGGAGATAAGCTGCATCGCTGCACCATTGTCTCGAGGAATTCCTTCCCTTCCTGCACCAACCCGCCATGGCTACAAGCAGTTAGCAGGGCTAGGAAGGTGACCTCGTTAGGAGCCACACCGTCTTCCTCCATCCTGTAGAACAAGGAGATGGCAGAGCCTGGCTGCCCATTAACTCCCAATCCTATGATCATTGCTGTCCATGCCTTCACGTCCCTATCTCGTATTGCATCGAAGACTGCAGCTGCCTCGCTGGGGCACCCGCACTTGAAGTACATGTCAATGAGCGCTGTCCCAAGCGTGCTGTCAATCTCTAGCCGTGCCTCTTCAGCAAGCTCATGGACAGAACGACCGGCTGCCAATGCCCCAGATGCTCCACACGCTGAGAGCACACCAACAAGCGTCCCAGAACTAGGTCTCATCCCGTGCTGTCTCATGCCATCAATCAAGTCCATTGCCTCCCGAATCTGCCCTGCCTTTGCATAGCCATCCACCATACAATTACACAGCACCAAGTCTCGTCTAGCTGTCTCATGAAACACCTTGCTTGCACACTCAACGCTGCCCTCCCTCACATACATCCCCACCAGTGATGCCGCAACCTTCACATCGTCACAGAACCCTGCCTTAATGCAGAAGCCATGCACTGACTCCCCTTGCCAGCCACACCCAATCAAGGTGATCACCACCGTCACATTGACATCCACTTCAGACCACCTCATCACGGTGAACATCTGCACCGCTGTGCCCACATCCCCCACCCTGACATAGCCCCCGATCACCGTGTTCCACGACACAGCGTCCTTCTCAGGCATTTCCTCGAACAACCTCCGCGCGTCCGCCATGTTCGCACTGCTGCAGTAAAAGTGGCACAGCACATTCCGCAGGCTCACAATGTCCAGGAACCCGTACCGCAGCACGAGCGCGTGCACCTGCTTGCCAACCGAAGCTGCCTCGGCGTCATTGGGGATTTTCGCGCAGAGCGCGAGCAGCGGCTGGAACGCGAACACGTCGAGCTCGGGGAGCCGCGCCCGCGCGGAGGCGAGGACCGAGAGGGACGCGGCGAGGGAGGCCGCGGAGGGGCACGAGGAGAGCGTGCGAAGGACGGCGGTGTGGTGGAAGAGCGTGGGCCGCGGGACGGCGGCGAAGAGGGAGAGCGCGTAGGGGAGCGGCGCGAGCGGGGAGGCGAGGAGCCTGGCGGTGGGGAACGCGTGGTGCGGGAAGTGGGAGCATTTCAGCATCAGGGCGTGGAGCTGGAGCAGGTGGCCCGGCCGCGTCGCCGACTTGAGCAGCGCCGTCAACGGCTTCCGCGGCGGCATCGCTCTCGGTTGGGTTGGGCGGGCCGCGGGCGCCGGCTCGGCCGCTCGGTCGCATGAGTTTCGTCGAGGAGACGTCTGACTGTTCGGCAGGCGCGCGTGCGCGTGTCGCCAAAGCAGAAAAGAACGTGGGCTGTGAGCCGCGTTCGGGGTGCTCATCTAGCGAAAAAAGCCCACAGCAACACAGACCGGGCCGATGACACTTGACAGAATTGAAACCCAGCCCATCTAATCGAAGCTAGGGTTTACATCCCTTATAAGATCTCGTCTTCCACCCTCGCCTCCATCTCTCACACTCCCTCCGGCGGCGGCAACCCGACGACTAACTGCGCCACCCTGCCGCGGCAGCCATGGTGCATGTTAACTTCTACCGCAACTGTAAGAGCCCCACCTCCACTGCATTGTATGTGTGTTGCCTTGTGACTTCCATAGACGTACAGTAGATATCTAGATCGATCCAGCTCGTGCTGTTATTTCCTTGCGGTTCTCAAGATTCTTCCACCAGTAGTGTTGGGGAAATGCTTACTGATGAATATTCCTTCCGGATACGCTTAATAGTAGCAATTCGGATGGTCGAAGTGTCGAAGAATACCTTTCGCCTTTGCTTTGATCCGTCTAGCCCAAAGTATGGCGGATTGCCCTTAGGTGAACTGATTGTGCGGGCATGCATGTGGTTTCAAATCTGTATATAGGGGTGAAATTGTGCTGGATCAGAATTCAAAATACCAAGCTTTGTACTAGTTTAGTACTCTTTAAAAGCAAATAGTATCAGACAATGTCCTTACACAGTTGTCGCAATTTTCGTTATTGCTCAACCAGTCAACCTGAAACTGGTTATTTGCACCATTTAGTATAGGCTCTAGCTGTGTTTTCAATACTAGAAAGTTGGACAGAAATCTTTCATTCACTGATAGTGACAGGTTAGTTGTTACCGATACCACTCTCAGTTATTTTCCAAAGCTAATTTTGTAGTGCTATCAGTAGCTTATGTTGTTGCGTGTTGCAGATGGGAAGACTTTCAAGAAGCCAAGGCGTCCGTATGAGAAGGAGCGCCTAGATGCTGAGCTGAAGCTGGTTGGTGAGTATGGTCTGCGCTGCAAGCGTGAGCTGTGGCGCGTGCAGTATGCCCTGAGCCGTATCAGAAATGCAGCCAGGGAGCTGCTCACCCTGGATGAGAAGAACCCACGCCGTATCTTTGAGGGTGAGGCGCTCCTACGCCGCATGAACCGATATGGTCTCCTTGGTGAGGGTCAGAACAAGCTTGATTACGTGCTTGCCCTCACTGTTGAGAACTTCCTCCAGCGCCGCCTCCAGACCATCGTCTTCAAGAATGGCATGGCCAAGTCCATTCACCATGCTCGTGTCCTGATCAGGCAGCGCCACATCAGGTTTGTTTATGCGCTCCTGATCCCTCAATTGTGCATCAATTTCAGTTGTATTGTAAAATGCTCACAAAGATTGAAAGTTGGCAATTGTGGGTTTGAGCAGTTCCTACGCTTCTGTTCCTATGTTAGTTATGAATTTGCAATATACTGTTCCAGTTTGTGCCCAATTTTCATTATGTTTTAATGCTAGTGGTTGTATGTTGTAAAGACACATTTGATCTTGGATGGGCCATATGATGAAAAACCATGTGCAATTCTCACGACGGTCGTCTGAGACACTTTGTGTGTAATGTTGCAGTCATGTTTCTCTGATGCCCTTGGTTACATTTGATTCTTATAGCTGTTACCATAATGAATAGTTTTGTGTGACACTTGCCTTTCTCTCTATGGTTCGTTTTTACTGTAGTGAGGTCCTTGCTCTGTGTTCTCCAGTGTAAAAATGAGTAATCCTAGTGACAAGATACTGAACGTTTGGAATCTGTGATTCAGTATGTTGTTTTAACAGCCTTTTATCCTTAATTCATTTTTATTTGTTAATGTAGTTTTCTTGTTATAAGGGTAACAAATTTTATTATGCTGAAATATCGGTTCAATCATCTGGATCACAAGTCCATGAGCTCCCTGTACTTTTGCAAATTTGGAGTTTTTGTTGCAAATTGCTTTATGCCTGTGCATCCTGTCATGTTGCTTCTAATGTGTATGCATATATTTCTATGTTTTGTTGGGCACCAATGTTTTCAAGGCGGTAAGGCAAGGTGTGGCGACTGACTACCGCCTTACACTTAAGCGACTAAGGCGTGAGGCGAGGCGACGCCTTAACAGCTTAAGGAAAACTTAAAAAAGCAGCTTAGAGCAGTAGATAATGAAGAAAAATGAAAAGGAAAAGATGAAAAAGAAAGGAGGAGGAGCAAGAAGTAGCCTGGCCCAGCCCACCAGACAGCCCATATATGCCCCTAACCTTCCTAGGTCATCTCTCGAACTCCCAATCCTCTCTCCAGCGCCGCCGCATCTCTCTCTTGTTCTCCACTACCACTCTGCCTCTGCCCCTCTCTGTCTCTTGCTTCCCTCCCTCTCTCCTCCAGATGATCAAATGTGCTGCTCTGCTTGCGGGATGTTGTAGGATGTTGCAGGCCAACGCCGATTGGGGAAGATGGCCGTGGCCCGCACAGGCGGCTGCACGGCTCAGCGGCAGGCGGGTGGCAACTTCTCCCGTTGGCGCAGGAGAACGCGTCGGCACGGGCGAGCTGCGGCTTCTTGTTCCCCTCCCGCACTCCCGCTCACGGGTGTGGAATCTCCCGCGCACCCACTCTCTCCCTCCCGCTCTCCCGCTCACTGGTGTGGAATCTAAGGCGAGTCGTCTGCTGTGGCGTCGTGTGTGCAGCGCCTTGGCGCTTAAGCGACACCTAAGCGTCGATTAAGCGACGCCTTGAAAACATTGTTGGGCACAATGAGTTAATTTTGCTAATGTATCTCCGAGGCCAGAAGGTCACTGATTCTTATGTCCTTTTCATTCTGAGTGCCCTATTGGATGTTCAAATAATATGTTTCTGTTTTCTTTTTTCCTTTCAATGTGTGATTATGTTGTCATACTTCCTTCAGATTCTTTAGTTTCTGATTAATATGGAATTCCTTGTTCTGACCGTTCTCAACCCTGTGAGACTCAGTCGTAACTCTGCCTCATGTGGTTAGTGTCGTAACTCTGCCTCATGTGGTTAGTTTCTAATCCACTGCTTTGCTTGTGTAATATAGTGCCATGCATGTATCTGTTTGTATCACTGAATTAGTCATGTGCTCCACATTGAAAACGAGCTGTGGTGCTTATGGAAAAGACCAAATTATTCAAGGGGATGCTTATACTTTTAAATTTAAATCATTGGCATAGTTTGGTAGATTGACAGACAAGTTCAGTTTAGCAACTTGGATCTACGAGCCTTTTTTTTCTCCTTGATCTAACATTGAATTTTCACAGGGTGGGAAGGCAGCTCGTCAACATTCCCTCGTTCATGGTCAGGGTCGAATCAGAGAAGCACATTGACTTCTCCCTCACCAGTCCTCTGGGTGGCGGTCCTGCTGGAAGGGTGAAGCGGAAGAACCAGAAGAAGGCATCAGGCGGCGGCGGTGATGGTGAGGAGGACGATGAGTAGTGCCACGTAGGATTCTGCGACAGCAATTGGTTGAAGTGTGAGATGGACACTTTAGGTGTCGTGCCTGAGTTTTTGTGGTCTTGAATTCAGAAATCCTACGATGGTAGACAATTTTGCAGCCCAATACTGACACTTGTTTAATTTCAAGCATTGGCAAAGTGTCTGGACACTATGAATTGTGTATTCTGGTTTGCGTGGCTATTTGCTCGTCTGGCATCCTATGTTTAAGACTGAATGTCTGAATCAAATTGGTACTCCAACTTCTCGTTCTCAGGTGCTGTTTGGTCGGCAAATGTAAATGGTATGAGATCCATGGGGCAATGAGTACAGGATAATCAGTTTGCATTTTGTTTGGATCCACGCAAGATCGTATCAGGTAAGCGCTGGATTTGCATTAGCCTCAGACCTGATTACACGGGACCTGAGTACGCAAGTGCCCAAGTGAACCAAACAAATTTGACATACTCAGATTACTCTGTGAATGGGTAACATCTGAAAATCACGAAACCAAACACGAATATGTGGAGTGGATGGCCGTGCTGAGCATCAGAAAATTTGCTCCGTGTACAGGGTACTGCTCCTCGCTCAGATCATGTTGTCGTAGACCTGTTCACGGTTTGGGTTGAAACCCGCTAACCGTAACCGGTGAACCCAATATCCGTCCAGGTCCTTGAAACGAGTTGGCCTCAAAACGGTTTAGAACCAACTTACCAAGTAAACCGGCAAACCCTTCACCGGCGAGATCCTGCTAAATCCCGAGCTTTACGAGCCTATCTATGCATGAGCTCAGCTCGGTGGACGACCAACAGCCGTATCGTATCGTGGATTATTTACTGCTGGCTGGTTTGACGTGAGAGAAAAACACTGTTCCCAGCTAAAAATTTACGATCGTTTACGAGCCGGCGAACAGGCTGCAAATGTCCTGTGCACGTGCTCCACCTCAACCGCCACCGGGCTGCCTGCCTTCGAGTCGGGTGCCACTGCCAAAACTGCCTTGCTGAACTCAGTGGACTGTATCAGTGGCCTGACCATCGTCAGCCGGCAGGCAATGTTATCCTCAACGTTAAACATTAAACAGTCGGTCATCTACCATTTAGCCCATTACTCAAAACAGGTGTTTAAATGAGCAAAACAGCGGTTTAAACGATTAAAACAACCGATTAAATAGAAACAATGTACTACCATGTAGCGTTCAAACGATGTGTAAACGGACTAAACAACCGTTTAGGCAAACGGTGCCGACAGGTCGCTCGGCCTTCTCCGAGGATGGATGCCCCTTGCGGCTGCATGCGCTTAGGGTAGCAGAGCACAACGATTTGTGGAGGAAAGAGTAACAAGGCAGCATCAAGGATGCCTGTTATGTATGCTATGCATCCTCCTCGTTCTGATGCGCGCAAAGGAATACAAAGCACCCGTATCTGTATGGCTCAAGCCGTCAAAACCGAGAAACAACCAGCCGTATGTTGGAACCGGA